AATAAATAACCGATTTAACTTTACCACTGCTACACAATGCCAAGTGGTTTTTTTTTTCATGTGAAACCCACTGTTAAGTAGAAAAGTGATCTCTGTGAGTTCGAGGCCAGCCTGGTCTACAGAGCGATTTCCAGGACAGCCTCCAAAACAATACAGAGAAACCCCCATCTCGATAAACAAAACAAAAAAGTAGTAAAGTATTAGGCTCTATATTGTCTTACAGTGCAAAAGTTTACTACCTAGATAATAGTGATTTTTTTGGATGGGTGACTGAAAATCGCTCAATAGTCAGACAGAAAAATCTTTCTTGGAGACTGCTTGGGTCTAGATGTCCACACTAAGCGAAGTTCTCCATGCGGACAGAGTTTGAACTAACGCCGGAGGTGAAGTTCCATAGCTGTGAATAGGATGACCACAGTCTACCATCCAAAGTGGCCTTTGAGAGGCTGACTGGTCTAGACTGGGTCGAGCCTGTCATCAGTGACCTCGCACTTGTTGCTTAAAGGAACGATCAGTGCCCATTTTGAGAATGTATTTGCTTCTGGCTTTAATGATTCCTAAAATAATAGTACTTCACCAGCAGTCCTATGGCCACCCTTCCTGGGGAAGAGGTGGTCCCCTGACCTCCGCTGGTAGGCACACTGCCTCGTTCTTACCTTGAGCTTTTGTTCTTCGGGTCCCCGGGAAGGGTGTTTAACTCTCTGGGGGATGGATGGTTGTTGGCCTTTGAAATGCCAAAGGTTTTTTTTGTTGTTGTTGTTGTTGTTCTTTTTTAAATAAATGTCTTTCCAAAAAAATTCAAAGCATTGATGAAATGAAATTTAATAGCTGGGTTTTTTTTTAATATTTAGCTAAACACTAGACGACGTGAATTTTGAAATTGAAGAGGAGTAAAGACTAAGCATTGTATCATGTGTGTTTGTCTCCTGGGAACTCAGTTCTTTATCAGGGACAACCTAACAGGCAGAAGTGCCTGAGGCTGGAGATGCAGGGGCTTAGTTGGTCTTAAATGAAGGCACTATCTTTTTTTTTTATATTATTTTTTCCATTTTTTATTTCATTTTACATTCCAACCATAGTTCCCCCCACCCTCCTTACCCCCCCATTCCACCCACAGTCCACTCCTTCTCACGGGTAAGGGCTCCCTTGAGGAGCCAACAGAGTCTGGCACATAGGTTGACATCCCCCTGTGGGGCGTGGGCTCCAACAAGCCAGCTCATGTACCATGTTTGTATCATAGTCTTACTGCCAGGGGTCCCTCAGCTGGTCCAAGCTTCACAACTGTCTCCCACGTGTGGCAGACCTAGTTGGATCCTCTGGAGTCTCCGTAGTTGTAGGTCTAGGGTTCATGAGTTTCCACCAGCTTGGTTCAGCTGTCTCTGTAGATTTCTCCATCCTGATCTCAGGAGTCAGAGGGGATGGGGGACACCAGGAGAACTTGACCACTGAAGCAAGCAAGCAGGGCCCGTATGGGTTTGCATAAGTGAAGGAGCAAGCCCTGGGCTTTCATGGGTCTGCCCAGGTCCTCTGTAAATATGTCATGACTGTAAAGCTTGGAGTGTTTGTGGGACTCATTACAGCGCGAGCGGGTGTGTCTCTGGTTTTCTGCCTGCTTTTGGGACTCTTCCTCCTGTTGGGTTTCCTTGTCAAGCTGCACTGTGCGGGCTTTAGGGTCGCCTTGTCAAGTAAAGCACTATGTGGGCTTTTGCCTTGTCTTGCTTCTTGGAAGCTTGGTCTTTTCTGAAGGGGAATGGAGGGAGAATGGATCTGGGGGAGAGGGGACGTCTGTGTGAGGTGGGGAGAAGAGGGAAGGGGTAGTGTGGTCAGGATGCATTGTATGAGATAAGAAGAAGAATCTAATTTCAACTTACAAAATAGAATAAATTCAGTCGGGCGTTGGTGGCGCACACCTTTAATCCCAGCACTCAGGAGGCAGAGGCAGGTGGATCTCTGTGAGTTCAAGGCCAGCCTGGTCTACGAGAGCGAGCTCCAGGACAGCCTCCAAAGCCACAGAGAAACCCTGTCTCGAAAAACAAAAACAAACAAAAAAATAGAATAAATTCTGATTTTCCTCACCAAAATAATAACAATAATAATAATATGAGGGCAATGTCAGGTGCATATTCCCCTGACTTTTGTTTCTTTGGAAGTAAGCTTGATCTCAGTGCAGCTATCATTGCTCAGGGCCTACCCAGCCATCCCACTTCTGCAACCTTAATTTCTTCTATTTCTCTGTCCGGAGAGTGGTTTTTAACAGGAAACCAGTGCCGTGCCTTTGAGTGATGATATTTTGTAGCTTTTGATTTGGACCAAAGAGAGAGAGTAACGGGAGTAAAAGAGAATAGCCAGGAATATGAATTCTGAAAAGGAAGAGGAGTAAAGAGTAAGCGTTATAACTTGTACCTGTCTCCTTAAGTTCTCTCAGGAACAACTGAGCAAGCAATAGCCTGATGGAGATGCAGGAGCTTAGAATCCTTCACTGCGTGGGTTTCGTTACTGCTGTGGGGACGTTGCTTTTGTTTTAATGTTTTTTTTTCCTTAGAGGGTTCTGTCTCTGTCCTCCTCCTTCCCTCCCTCCCCCTCCCTCCCTCCCTCCCTCCTCCCCCCCCCTCTCTGTGTGTGTGTGTGTGTGTGTGTGTATGTGAGTGAGTGCACACACGCACACACACATATTGAATCCCAGGTGTCCTGACATGTAAACATTTTGTGCCCTGCTAAACTATTGACTTGCTTCTAGTAAACGAGACCTTTTAAAGATCCAACCATGTTTGACTGTAAGGTGTCCTGCCCTGCCTCCTTCCTTTGAACATAACGTGTACTTTGATAAGTCTCATTTTAGATGTGAGAACTTCCTTCTATTCCCGGGTGTGGCAGCCCCAGGATGGCTTTGGAGACATCCTTGCCATGGAAACTTGCCGTAAATACAGAAATGATCCTAACAACAGATCTGGTCAGAGATGCACTTTGTTTTTTAGAGGTGGAGCCTGTACGTGCTGTTTTCCGAGGGGAGTATCTATCAAACTAAACTTAAAAAAAAAAAAAGACTGTAAAGTTTTCCCAGGACGTTTACAAGGCAGAGTGTTTACTACTGGATAAGGAAGGCCCCAGAACTTTTGAACAAAACGTTTTGTTCTAAAACCCCTTGCACATTTGGACACAGGGTGCTTTCTTTCAGCTCTTCCAGGTCCATGTTCTTATATTTGCTATAAAGTGAGATAATGTTGTTGCTCCTAGAGTATATTAGAATTTATGGTAGGGCTATCTGTTTACCGAGCAGTTCAGTTGAGGCTTATCTATGAGTGTGGAAGACACCAGAGGGCAAGGACAGCCAGTGGAGATGAGTTTATGTGCAAGAAATGAGTTTAGCTAGGGTCAAGGGATCCAGGCTGAGCAATTTGATAACGCGAGGGTGAAGGGCCATGAGGAATTAATCAACAGAGGCACACAGTCAATGAGTAGGAACTAGCGCAGGTTAATGAGTTTGGAGGGGGTGAGGCTCTGAGTTGCCGAGCTGGAACCATGGGTGCCTGGTAGAGCGCGTTATGTCTCTGCTGTGTTTGATGGTCATGATAAGCCTGGGTTAGGTGGCTGGGGCAGCAGCCCCCCCGCCCCCTGCGCGCGGCCACTGGAGAAGGCAAAGAACCGAGAGACCACACAGCAAGAGGAAGAGCTGTTCATGGGTTGCGGAGAAGAAAAGGAATGCTGCAGAGATGCAGCGAGCTCGGGGGTCAGCAACTTGGGAGGACTGGGAGCCTCTGAAGTCTGTACAAGTGTGCGGTTGGAACAGAGGCGAGCGGCGTGAGCTCCCAAGCCTAGGTCTCTTTGGGAGCAGGAAGTGGTCATTTAACAGAAGTGAGCAGAGCCAGCGGGGGATATGGCGCCCTCTAGAGACACGGAGTTATTAGAAGGTAGATTAGAAGGCCTCAGATTTTCCCTAAGAATCAGTGCTCCCAGGAGAGCACAGTGGCCGGTGCTCCCAGGAGAGCGCAATGGGAGGCATTCAGGAGCAAGCCGTCCTGAGGGACGTAGCCTTGCTCACAGGGTGGATAAGCAAGGACGGGGACACAGCAAGAGTTACACGTCCGGTGGCTTCTGTAGCAAGAGGCCATAATGCGGGGAGAGGGTGGGCTGGGCATTTTGCCAGAGCAAGCAGACCTCTGGGGGTTCTGCTTCCCTCCTCCGTTTGGTCGTTTGGGGGTACAGGGTGAAACCTGGGCTACCTGGGCGTGGGTAGGTCTTTACAGCCTCCCTCCATTCTGTGGCGGAGGTGGGTGTGGACGGTGGCGAGGCTCACCACTCGTGAATCGCGATGGCAAGGGTGGCCTAGGGAGCTGTGTATTGGGTTAGTGATTCAGTATTTCGTCTTTGCGATGCTCCGACTTGTGTGTTGCTCCTACCATGGCAATGTAAGTCTCGTGGTATTGCCTGCCGGATACTCGGGAGTTTTTGGAGGAGAAGTCTCTCGTAGTTTGTGTTCAAGAAGTGCCCAGTTTTGATTCGGGTTGATTTTTAAGTCCATGTAAGAAATGATCTTGTGTTTTCAAAAAATACATTGTTCTTTTTATCCGGGATGTGCTTTGGTGTGCTGCGTGCATCGTATTGGTGCTTCCCTTGATTGCTAATCCGTAGATAAAATTCAGATCCCAACTTATGTTAAAAAGCAGGTCGTAGCCGGGCGGTGGTGGCGCATGCCTTTAATCCCAGCACTCAGGAGGCAGAGGCAGGCGGATCTCTGTGAGTTCGAGGCCGGGCTGGACTGACAGCCTCCAAAACAATACAGAGAAACCCTGTCTCATAAAAACCAAAAAAAAAAAAACAAAAAAACAAAAAAACAAGCAGGTCGTATTCTCCCCTTCCTCTAGATGCCTTGCCATTTCTCAAAAAAACAAAACAAAACAAAACAAAAACAAAACCAAAAAACCATGCGGCCTGAAATCCGTCAGAGTAACAGCCGCTGATGAGCTAACATATTCTTTTCCCCCACCCCCCTTTCTTCTTAGTGAGGAGAGTTACAACGTCAACGACTACTCCTTAAGGGACCAGCTGTTGGTGGAGTCTTGCGACAGTGAAGAGCTTAGTTCCTCTCCGGGGAAGAGCCCTCCCGCAGTGCTGTACTCAAGACAGAGCTCTGCCGCTCACCTGTTCACCCTGACCGTCCTCAGCAACCACGCCGGTGAGAAGGTCCACATGCTGCTCGGGGCTGAGAGCCAGTAAGTGTGCCAGGGAGACGCCCTGCAACAACTCCCTCTCTGCTCCACTCCGCCCACCCGCCCCTCCTCTCCATGCTCCGCCCACCCGCTCCTCCTCTCTCCGCTCCGCCCACCCGCCCTCCTCTCTCCGCTCCGCCCACCCGCTCCTCCTCTCTCCACTCCGCCCACCCGCCCCTCCTCTCTGTACCGTGTAAGTATCATATAAAATACAAATTTTGCATTTTTTATCATCATATCCCATTTTTAGTATCATATCACGTGTCGTACCGTATCATATATAAAATAAAGTACTTAAGTATCATCTCATCTATTTTATTTTATCTCTCAAACAAAGTACCACCGGCATATATCGTGTCCTGTTGTAAAATATATATATATCCATTACTTTGACATAATAATAACATCAAATGCACGTATCATAATATAATAAATGGTACATCATATCAAGTATCATTTTTACGTCATCATATAAATCATTGCCATAATATATATTTGACATCATAAACCATTACAAAGCATCATCTCATTATCAATACCAGCCTCCTCTCATATCATTACCAGTATCATCTCTGTCAATACATATCATCTCATATATTACCAAAACCTATCCTCATCATGCCGTATCTCGTATCAACACCAGCTATCATCTCTCATCATACCATTATCCTCTTTCTGTCATTACTGCCCCTCCTCTCTCATATCAATACCATACTCCTCTCCGTATCAATACATATCATATAAATAAATACAGCCCCTCCTCTCATGTCCATTACCACGCTATCCTCTCTTATCATTACCTGCATCATCTCTCTGTCAATACCATACCTCCTCTTAATAACCACCATACCTCCTCTCTGTGCTCATGCCCTCCTCTCTATGCTCCGCCCACCTGCTCCTCCTCTCTCTGCTCCGCCCACCCGCCCCTCCTCTCTATGCTCCGCCCACCCGCCCCTCCTCTCTATGCTCCGCCCACCTGCTCCTCCTCTCTCTGCTCCGCCCACCCGCCCCTCCTCTCTATAGATACTGCGGCTGTTTATTTTGTTGCTGTTGTTGTTGTGTACCTACTGTGTCCCGGGCGCAGCATCCAGGTACTTTTAGTAGTGGGCGTGGCCTCCTCAGCATCTCTAAGGGAGGGATGTTGCTTTGTGCCCCCCCCGTAAGTCCCCATGAAGGCATTTTGGTTGGGCCTTTTCATTTGAAAAAACAATCAAATGCATTTTATTTCAATACTGACATTTTCGTAAACGGAAGCATGAGGGTGAGGCTTTTCCCTTCCTCACTCCTGCGAGTGTGTCTGGAATTTTCTGGAGCTTTGCATCGACCTGCCGTTGGCTTTTCTGCGGCCCTCGAGAAGCTAGCTGCTCCTCGTGCAAAGCTAGGACACACGGCCACTTAAACGGACTCCTTGTGGCCGCTGTGCTTTGTAGCCCTGAAACACGGTGGTTCATCCACTTTAGGCTGGATAATTGAAGGGTGCCGACTCCCAGCACGCGCTGCTTTCTTTGGTACTGAGTCTGAAGTAATTTCTGGAATCTTCTGCCTTCAGTCAAGACGGGGCAGGAGGAATGCTCAAGAGTCGTACTCTGCTTAGGGAAAGCATTTCCCGATTCCTCTGGAAGCAGATCAAACATTCTGCGAGTGCCTGTGGCTTCACCCACACTTAACTGTGCAGTCGGCTCTCGCACTGAACGAGGGGATTAGGGCTTGGTTTGCCATCCCACCTTGGGGATTCGGTTGGTTTTTGACATTGCTGACCAATTTGTTTGGAAACAAGGAATCTCTTGGATATCATCATGGACCAGTTACTACCTTGGGTCGGGGAAGAGAGCAGTGGAGGAAAAGGAATTCCCTGAGTCTGTATCCTGTCAGGCCCTTACCTGTCATCATCTGTCAACATTCCCATGTAGTGTGGTTAAAATAGACCAGCAGAGAGAAGTGAATTACAGTCCCACCTGGAGTTAAGTCTCTATATAAAAGTATTTTCTTACAGAAGTCTTTCTCTGTGGGCCCACAAATTCTTCCCCAGGAGCTGTAGAAAAGTCCAGAAGAGAGTTCCTGGCATTGCCTTCCTTGCCTGCTGCTTTCGAGAGGGAGGGCATCCTTGGGTGTGTGCTTACGGAATCCAGCATGGGACACATCCAGGGCCAGAAGTCAGGAAAGACATCTGTTCAACCCTAGAAGGCCTGGGGTAGCAGAGGCAGAAGTAGGCTTCCTTTGTGTGAGAGAACGTCTTTTAAAAATGGGATTAATATGCTGGACTTTGTGTGACTCTAGGAAAAGCTTAAACTCTTTGGGAGCTAATGCTTGTCCAGATGTTCCGGGAAAACTCCACGGAAATGCCCCCCCCCTTGGTAATTAGTAATGCCGAAAGTGCTGCCTTTTGCTTGTGTTTTCCTTGTCTGTTCATGGTTTGCTCTTCATTCGGGCTTTGCCAGTGTACTGCAGAGCTCTTCCTGACCGGCTCATCTATAATTTATGAAATCTCCATCACTTGTCTCTCAGATATTCCAAGGCAATGTCCCGCTCTCTTCAAAGCACGGCTACATCTCTCCCAAGACCGTAGACTCTGTTCTGTGTCCTCTTGACTTTGATTTGCCTCGGACTGAACAGTTAGTTGCCTGTTTTCTTAGTCAGACATGCTCTCAGAATATTTAGTTATGTCACCCATGCACCCATGAGTATGACTCATATTTGTCCGTCCTTTCATTAATAGCAAGAGAACATTCCAGAAGGGACAAGGGTGGCAGAAGTCTGTCTTCTGGAACAGAAGGAGTGGCTGTCGTTCCTGTCTTCCCTTCTCTGCCCTCAGTTACGGTTGAGAAACAAACGGATAGGCTGGGTTGGAGGGGACAGCTCAGTGCTTAGAGCACTTACTGTTCATGCAGAGGCCCTGGGTCCATTTTCCTGCACCCCTGGTGGCTTACAACCATCTGTAACTCCATTTTCCAAGGGCTCTAGAGTTCCCTCTTCTGGTCTCTGTGGGTACCACACATGTTTGTGATGTGCATACATATGCACAGGCAAAACGCTGAAACACGTAATGTAAAAAATAATGATTCTTACGATGAGTAAGTGGGCAGATGACTGGCAAGATACAGAATAGCACTGGTAGAGATAAAAAAAATGACTCCCAGATGTGCTCTCCTTAAAACACACATGTGCCCTCGCACATAATGGGTTGTTCTAAATGTCGAGCAAGTTGTTGCATGCTGAGAGCGAACATCTGTAGATTAGTCGTGAGTTATAGATTAGTCGTAAGTTACTGGCTTTTCTTTTTTTCTTTGTTTGTTTGTTTTATTTTAAGCTTACACCACCTGGAAGCATAAAAGCTGGACATACTACTTGGGCACTACAAAGTGTGTACACTTTATGATCTGTCCAAATCGACATAGGTGTACTTTATTCTCGTAGACATCAGTTCTTGTAATGAGAAGCCTTCCCGCCAGCCTGGTTCCAGAGCTGCATCAGTCCCAAATAAACACACAGAAGGCTATATTAATTATGAAGCTGTTGGCCTTGCTTGTTTCTTACTGGCTAGCTCTGACTTAAGTAATTTACCCCATAATTGTTAATCTAAGTATGTCTCTTACCGGAGAAGTTTCCAGGCTTCCTACCCCATGGCGTTACATCTCGACTTCCTGTGTTTTCCTTCCCAAAGTCCTCCTGGACTCCTAGTCCCACCTATCTTGATTCCCTATTGGCCAGCAGTGCTTTATTGACATGATCACAGGACTTCCCCAACAAGTTCTTTATGGTGGGCTCTCTGGTTTTGAGTAACCAGTTTTGGTCAGTGTAGGAAGTACTCTTTGCATCTCGGATTTGTGAGATACTTGGTTGCGTTTGCAGACGGACAAACGGTTCCCACCTAGCACCCGCCCACCAGTGGCCAGTACTTGGTCAGTGGTTGGCAGTGCCCCCCTGAGCTCTCCCGTGTACGATTGTTGAACGGTTGAGCCTTGTGCAAGCCCTGTGAAAACAGCCGTAGCTTCTGCAGATGCATGGCTGCAGCGACTGTGTCACGACGTCTAGAAGATGCTGTTTTGTCTGTCTGCATCTTCCTGCCACTCCTACCTCAGTGTTTTCCGAGCCTTAAGGGGGGGGGGTGACATAAAGGTCCCGTTGAGGGCTGCGCGCTCAACTGTCCCTTACCCACGCAGCCGAGCATCTCTTCATCCGTGAACGTTTGCAGTGAAGGGAAGCTCCTCCGATTAAGGCTGAGAGTAGCACTTGCTTATGGGTATAAACACATGTGTTTAGAAAGCAGTGGGGCTCGTGACAGTTTTGTTAAACAACAGCAGTAGCTGCCCCTTATGGCCCACACTTTCCCCAGGCATGGTTTTTCTTTTTTTTTTTTTGACTGAGCTCATGGTATGAACTATGAGTTTCCCTCTTGTGTAGCAGGGCTGAATCCAACCATAGAACACTGGATGTGCCTATGACGGCTGTGCCGTTATTGGAACAGTGTGCACCTCTTGCCTGGTGGCTGTATTATAATTCACAGGGTTGGGAGCGGATGCCCTTTCTCTACCAGCAGCCGATAGAGCGCTCCGGCATTACAAAAGCTAGCCACCAGGGAAGAAGCCTTCTGCTGAGTTCTGCCTTTGTTTCTCTATATTTTGCGACCAAGATCCATGGTGTCTTATCGTCTAGTTCTGGTGGGTAATCAGGAAGAAAGGCAAGAACCTGCATTACTTGGGGATCAACAGCTCACAGGAGGGGCTTCCCATGTGATACGGGCATACCTGTTTAATAACCATGGCTTCTAGGAGCAGAACTATCCAGCTAAGAAGGAAGTCTCCCTTCCTGACCCTTATTTATTTTAATTTACACTTTTAATTCACTTATAAAAAATGTAAACTTCCAGCTGGGCCATGGCGGCGCACGCCTTTAATCCCAGCACTCGGGAGGCAGAGGCAGGCGGATCTCTGTGAGTTCGGGGGCCAGCCTGGTCTACAAGTTCCAGGACAGCCTCCAAAGCCACAGAGAAACACTGTCTCAAA